CCTACATCCATACACACACACACACACACACTGCCTGATAACTACATCCATACACACACACACTGCCTGATCCCTACATCCATACACACACACACACACACTGCCTGATCCCCTACATCCATACACACACACACACACACATTGCCTGGATCCCTGCCATCCATACACACACTACCTAATCCCTACATCCATACACACACACACACACACACACACACTGCCTAATACCTACATCCATACACACACACACACCCTGCCTGATCCTCACATCCATACACACACACACACACTGCCTGATCCTCACATCCATACACACACACACACACTGCCTGATACCTACATCCATACACACACTACCTAATCCCTACATCCATACACACACACACACACTACCTAATCCCTACATCCATACACACACACACACACACTGCCTAATACCTACATCCACACACACACACACACACACTGTCTAATACCCACATCCATACACACACACACTGCCTGATCCTCACATCCATACACACACACACACTGCCTGATCCCTACATCCACACACACACACACACACACACACACTGCCTGATCCTCACATCCATACACACACACACACTGCCTGATCCTCACATGCATATACACACACACACACACACACACACGCACTGCCTGATCCCTACATCCATACACACACACACACACACATTGCCTGATCCCTACATCCATACACACACTCCCTCATCCCTACATCCATACACACATTGCCTGATCCCTACATCCATACACACATTGCCTGATCCCTACATCCATACACACACACATACACACACACACACTGCCTAATCCCTACATCCATACACACACACACACACACACACACAGTCTAATACCTACATCCATACACACACACACACACACTGGCTGATACATCCATACACACACACACACACACTGCCTGATACCTACATCCATACACACACACACACACACTGCCTGATACCTACATCCATACACACACACACACACTGCCTGATCCATAAACACACACTGCCTGATCCCCCCCCACACACACACACTGACTAATCCTTACATCCATACACACACACTGCCTAATCCCTACATCCATACACACACACACTGCCTAATCCCTACATCCATACACACATACTGCCTGATCCTCACATCCATACACACACACTGCCTGATCCTCACATCCATACACACACACACACACTGCCTGATACCTACATCCATACATACACACACACACACACACACACACACACGCACTGCCTGATACCTATACACACACACACACACGCACTGCCTGATACCTACATACACACACACACACATGCACTGCCTGATACCCACATACATACACACACACACACACACACGCACTGCCTGATACCTACATACACACACACACACACACACGCACTGCCTGATACCTACATCCATATACACACACACACACACACTGCCTGATCCATAAACACACACACTGCCTGATCCCTACATCCATACACACACACACACACTGCCTGATACCTACATCCATACACACACACACACACACACACACACTGCCTGATACCTACATCCATACACACACACACACACTGCCTGATACCTACATCCAGTGTGTGTGTGTATGGATGTGTGTGTATGGATGTAGGTATCAGCAGGGCCGCCATCAGGGGTTGACAACCATGATGGTTGTCACGGGCCCGGCGGCCCTGGGGGGCCCGGACTGCTCTGGCAGTCCTGGGCCCCACTTTCCCTTCTGCACACATAGCGAATATCGCAATCTATGTGTGCAGGCGCGGGGCCCCGGCTCCCTGTTACCGCAGAGGGCCCAGGCAGCACACAGCTTCTCCTCTCTTCTAATAACTTTCACGAGACCCGCGGAGCGTTGCCATGGTAACCGGGCTGTGTGCTGCCTTGGCCCCCTCTGTGGTAACAGGGAGCCGGGGGCCCCCCCCTCCCCCACCGGTCCGGTCCACCAGGAATGGAATCTCCCCCCTCCCTGGACACAGGTAAGCAGGGAGGGGGGAGAAACATTTACATTTAATTTACACATTGCACATTTACACACGCATACACTAACACACAACACACACACTGCATACACTAACACAGCACACACACTGCATACACTAATACAATACACACACTGCATACACTAATACAATACACACACTGCATACACTAATACAACATACACTCTGCATACATTACACACTAACACACACACTGCATTCACTATACTGACACACACTCTGCAGTTGCTACACATTAACACACTCTGCATTCACTACACTAACACACACTCTGCATCCGCTACACACTAACACACACTCTGCATCCGCTACACACTAACATACACTCTGCATTCACTACACTAACACACTCTCTGCATTCACTACACTAACACACTCTCTGCATTCACTACACATTAACACACTCTCTGCATTCACTACACATTAACACACACTCTGCATTCACTACAAATTTACACACACACTACATTCATTTCACTGACACACTGACACTGCGTCTAATACACACACTACATCCACTACAGACACTGCATCCACTAAACACATTTCATCTAGTACATACAAACACTACATCCACTACTCAAATACACTCTGCATTCACTATACACACTGCATCTGCTACACAAACACACACTCTGCATTCACTGCACAAACAGTATCTAATACACACAAACACTACATCCATTACACACATTCTAATTCACTTCCACTATACACACCACATTCAGTCCTGCATCATTGTGAGCGGACTAGGTAGGGTATGGGCGGGCCCGGGAGGGGGCCCCAGACCTTGTGTTTTGTCAGGGGCACCAAAATTTCTGATGGCGGCCCTGGGGATCAGGCAGTGTGTGTGTATGGATGTAGGGATCAGGCAGTGTGCGTGTACACACACCGCCTGATCCCTACATCCATACACACACACACACACACACACTGCCTGATCCCTACATCCATATACACACACACACACACACTGCCTGATCCCTACATCCATACACACACACACACTGCCTGATCCCTACATCCATACACACACACACACACACACACACACACTGCCTGATCCCTACATCCATACTCACATACTGCCTAATACCTACACCCATACAGGGCTGTTTGAAGGAATTTGGGGGCCCCAAGCAAAATGGACATGGAGGCACCCCCCTACACGCACGCAAAGCCTACAGGAACCACAGCATAGCCATACAATTTAAGTTCACCCACACTTTAAATAAATAAAAAAGTTTACAGTGCAAATACTGCTGTTGCATATAATGTGCATAAAATTTTAACATTTTCAACAATTGAGCATTTGCAAAAAACACCACTGTACTATAAAATCAAATATACATTAAAACAGTGCACAATAACTAAATCCAACATACTTAAAACACACACACATACATACACACTCAAATTAACATTTTTTAGTTCTCACAAACATGTGCAAATTATCTAAAACTGCTGTTTGCGAGCCTTGTTTTCTGCAAAGGCAATCACAATGTCCTCCATGTCAAAAGACTGGTGAACATCCTGCTCAATTGACGTAAGTGCCAGTCCTGTGAGCCTTTCTTGGCCCATGGTGGACCTCATGTAATTTTTTATCAGCTTCAAATCTGAAAAGCTCCTCTCACAAGAGGCCACTGACACAGGGAGAGTCAGGAGTAGACGCAAAACAATGCTTAAATTACTGTACAAATCCAGTAGCTTCTCACTGTGTATGGAATTAAGCATGTCAAATGGGGAAGTGGCTACATGGTGAATTGATCTCAAGATGAATTGATCTCAAGTGCCAAGTCATCAGCATCAATGTCATGGAGGGTTTGTTCCAATTTTTTGCATCGTTCATGAAGCTTTCCATTCCTTATGGTCTGCTTCATGTTGTCCTTTGAGAACAGAAAGTCATAAAGGTCATAAACACCCTTCAATCGTGAAAACCTGTCACTTAGGCTTCTGAGGGCTGTGTCAACCATGGGCAGAAAGAAGTCTCTTCTGAAAGTCTCGTCTGGAGTAGACTCAGTGTCCTCTGTACCTTCATATAGAGACTGTCTTTTCTTTTTACACTGCCTTTTCTCAGGAAGGGTCATTTTCATATCCAGATTTTCTGCAATGTCCTTTGCATCAGTTTGACAGGAAGCGATCCCATTTTCCCTGAAGTCTTCAAGGTAGTCTTTTACTCCTTCTGTTGCTGATCTAAGTGTTTCCATGGAAATATTTGGACTTTGTAGCAGCTTGCTGACATGATTGATCTGGTACAAA